GGGGTTCTACGGGATTGTAAAATCAACTTTGTGGGGTGTAGAATCAACAACCAGTCGTCTGCTTTCGAAGAATTAAATGAGTTCATCCCTAAAGTTCTACCTTGGCGAAGTTGAAGACCGGTTTTACCACTTTTCGGCGCCACACTCAATATTGTAGCTACACGCTATGGTTGGAGTACGCGACTTCTCACACACTAACCCCTGCCTTATAAAGTGTCTTTAGCTAAACGTAAACGCTTAAGAAGCTAATGAAGATTGGTGATCTATATGCACATAGTGACAGCAAGATTCACCCAACAGATGTTTTTAGAAGACCGGATGTTAAACCAAAACATTACAAATGGAACAGTTCTGTATAGTCCTGAGTACGTGACTGTTGTTAGTACACAACACCGAATACAAACCATGCGAACTTAATGACTAACATAGTTAGTATTATTTACCTTTTCTTAAGTTCCTTTCTAAGGCCACGCAGACACAGGCTAGAGTTGGCGGGTCGGTAAGTAACTGATTAACCTGTGGAACTCCGGCGTGTGAAGCGCAGTTCTCACCTGTACGTACGTCTCACCTGGGCCGCACCCGGAAGTGTGTCATCTGCCCAGGTGACCTCTCACCTGTCGGATCAGCCAGAAGCAAGGCCAGCTGGTGTTCAGACAGGTCGGCTACTGCTCGGCAGAGCCAGCCGAATGTTTCAACATGTTACCAACATTCGGGTGTTGACGGGAGGTCGTTAACTATGGTGTTCGGGAGTATACGTAGGTCGGGGTGTGGCTGGCAGTGAAATTTGCTTCAAATTCAAGTCAAATTCGTTTAAATTCGTATAGAAACGTAGGCTGGGCCTAAACCATGGTCAGACTGCTCCAGAACTACAGCCAACTTTGGCCATGTGTGACAGAGAGATCTGTACGGCCGGCCCATCCCGAACTGCTCTCCCTCCTACGTCCGCCAGGGGGCGTGTTGGTCAAAACAAAACCCCTCCATATTCAAACCCTAAAAAGGATGGAGACAGACTGTTCCAGACTCTCTTATGAGGCTAAAGAAAACATTTACCAACACGAATTCGTAGATCTTCGGCGTGAGACCACCAAGATGGCGGCTGTCTGATTTTTCTGTGCAGATCAACACAACAAGTTCGTAATTCTTTCTACGTTTCAAGAGCGGAGTAGGTCGTATCCCTACCTCAACGTTTTTAGTAAGTCACACTGCATGTTCTGGGGGAAAATGGTGTCGACTGGTGGAGAGGAATACGTGAAAATTCTGAAGAAGGATTGGGAGGCAGTTTGGGATAGATCTAGACTACTCTTGCTGGAATCCCGGGTGAAACAAGTAGAGTCCGGTATTGACACAGTGACTGGTGAAGTCTCCAAGTCCCACAGTGAGAATGCAGAAATAAGCAAGTCACTCGAATTCACACAAGAAAGTGTGGAGGAATTGACCGGTTGAATGGGAATTCAGGAGAAAGAGCAAGAAAACCTGGACCGAGATTTAACAGAGCTAGCTGGAACAGTACGGGCGTCGCTGGAATTTGCTTTTTCACGGTGTTGAGGAAAGTGAGTGATAGGAGTGCACGAAGAAAGTTTTAGATCTGATAAGTGAAGAAATAATGCGGATCTCAACAAGCAGTATATGCGGATGTGCGGTGTACACCGACTCGGTTAGACCACGCCCGAGCATTGCACGCTTTACCTGCCGGGCAGACAGGGACGTAGTATGGAAGAACAAGACGAGGCTAAAAGGTAGGCGTGTGTTTATCACCGACGATGTTCCTGCTAAGGTCCGTGATCTTAGAAGGAAGAAACTTGTACCGGCCCTTATATGAGCTAAGACCAAGGGCAAGAGAGCCTCTATCGTCGGTAGCAAGCTGGTGATTGAGGGTAACTCTTACATGCACTGGCAGATCCCTCAGAGGTGGCTCCATGACGACCCTGAAGATGATAAAGGCGTGACAGAGGATTGTCAAAACGGACACGAAGGAACGTCTCCAAATCCACCTGAAGCAGACAGGAGGCTCACTCGGCAAGCTGTGGCGAACCTAGACCCACCGCGACAGTCTAGAAGCCAACCGACGGACGGGGAGACTGGAGGCGGAAGGAAGCTGAGAAGTCGATCTAAGCGGGGCGGTAAACTATAGAGAACCTGGCTTTATACTATTTATGTCATCCATAAGACTGATTCTAGGAAAAATAAATATGAACTAGAAAGGCCAACATTTGCTTAGGAGCAAATGTAATATTTCACTCCATCTCCCTCCCCATACAAAAATAGAAGATTCTGAATAAATCATACTGCAATTATACAAGGACAAGCTTTTTGAATCTCGACAGATATTTACAAAAATGGCACTTGGCCATTATCTCCCTTTTTTTTACAAAGATACAACGACAAGCACTTTAAATCTCGACAGCTTTACTTTACACTTATCTCAATTTCAAAGTTATATATTGCAGGTATCTAAATACTACTAATGACGAAATTGCAACTACTACTAACGGTAGCAAAATTTTCACGGTCTGAGAAACATGGACATGTTCACGGAACTATATATTTACGGTGGTGACAGTTGCAGGAAAAAGAAAGTCCAGGAATTATTTCCTAACTGTAAAGATAAGTTCACGGTACAGAGGTGACAGTGAAAACCGTGAACATTGACCTCCCGCTTGCGTTACGTTGCGGTACAGTGAAAAAAAAATCGGGAATTACAGTAATCAATTTACAGAGTATGTTTGCTTAGTTTCCAGATGTTTTGTATGATTGTCGTAAACTTAGTTTTAAATTAACGAAAACCGATGCGCGCACAGATGCCATCCAATACAATCAAATCAACATGGCCTTATTAACAATCACATAAACTATGAAGCCATACATTGAATAAGCTATACATATAATATGATTATCATAACCTTTATTTTTAAAATCATGCCAGTGAGCTAATTGCATGTACAGAGTGAAAGAAAGTAAAGTAAAGTAAAGCAGTAGAATTTCTGTACTAAGCTATGATAGTACTCCATATGATTCGTCCTCATCGTCATCATTCAATGTGGTCTATCTCTTGCTACTAGTGACTGGTAATACCTCTGTAGATTCTTCACACTGGCAGAGTGCCGTACTCCTTCTCTCTTGTCAGCTCCATACTTTTGTGACAACATCAAAGTGATTTTGGTTTGTATGTTGGAAAAATACAAAAGACTAACATTCTAAGTTATTGACATTCTTGAGTAAGAACAATCAGTTTTTGAATGTTAAAAGCAAAACAACGAAAATCAAAAAAAAATAGTTGAAATTGTTAAAATGCAGGATGGTTAAAATTGTTAAAACTGATAAAATTGTTAAAACTGATAAAATTGTTAAAAATGATAAAATTGTTAAAAATGTTAATATCCGATGCACTGGGGTTCGAACTCACAATTTCTGGGATTGCCGCCTGGCGCGTTACCAACCGAGCTAACTGGGTGCGATACACATCACTCACTGCATTGTATTTCATATAAAGTAAACAGCATGGCGGTATCGATCGCCTCAAGCCACCAAGACTTTCAACTATTAACTACGGGGTTTCCTTCTTTATCAGGTTTGCTTTTGAACCACCTTGATGTTACTTAACTATCAACCCGGCTAGCAGAAGCCGCCGGCTCCTTTGATATTAC